ACTTTGGAATAGCCATTTTGTTAAGAGATTGTAGTCTATTGTTCCAAAAGGTGGCCCACCGTGGACCTTGGACTGGGCCACATCCTGTAGGGCCCAGTGTGGTCTTTGGACTGGGCCACATTCTTTAGGAAATTGGCTTAAGCTATAATTAAGAGCTTCTGTAGCATTGTATAAGTGGTAGAGTTTAATTTAGTCGTCATGGGTATTGAGTAAGCTTTAGAAGTTATTGATTATCAGAACATCATTAGACTAGTAAGGATAGTTACAGTGCTTTTGAAGAACATTAACTAGCAAAGGGAACAATAAGACAATCTTGGGGTTTGTTCCTCCTCACACCTAAGCATCTGGTGCGTAGGGGATGCCCCCCCGCACCTGGCTTTGTGTTCACGTGAAAGACTTGTGAGACTGCCTGTGTAAAATTTGGGGATAAATACCTGCTGTAACTTTCAATAAACGGCTTCTGCTCATTTCACTGAACAGTTGTCCACTTTCTTTCTTTCTCTTTCTTCCTCTTTATATCTATCCTTCCATCTTTCTTTCTTTTAATATCTATCCCTACAGATTCGCCGACGCCACCACATCTTCCAAGGGACTCCCCAAAACTTTGCAGGGGCTGGCCCCCTGCATCTTCCCTTTTGTATTCAAGGGCTGACAGAAAATCCAGAAACCCTGCATCATTTTTTCTGAAGACTTTTTTTTACAAAATGTATTTTAGATTTGAGAGGTACACATGTGTATTAACATATGATGTGGTGGTGAGGATTGGGTCTCAGATGGCTCATTCACTACATGGTGAACACTGTATCCTGTGGGTAGTTTCTGAACCCTAACACCCCCAACTCCATTGTTGTTCCCAGAGTCTATTATTTCCATCTTTGTGACCATGTAGATCCCACATATGAGTGAGAACATGTGGTGTTTGGTTTTCTGTTACTGGGTCAGTTTACTTAAAATGATGATCTCCAGCTCGATCCATGTTGCTGCATAAGACATGATTTCATTCTTTTTTGTGGCTGCCTAGTATTCCATAGTGTATATATACCACATTTTCATTATCTACTGATTGGTTGATGGCTATTCAGGTTGATTCCACATCTTTGCAATTGTGAATTGTGTTGCAATGAACATGCTGGTATAGGTGTCTTTTTGAAAATATAATGACTTCTGTTCCTTAGGGTAGTTACCTACCTAGAAGTAAGATTGCTGGATCAAAGGGTAGATCTACTTTTAGTTCTTTGAGTAATCCCTACACCACTTTCCAAAGAGGTTGTACCAATTTATACTCCCACCAACAGTGTATAAATGTTTGCTTTTCTCTGCATCCGCACCAGCATCTATTGCTTTTTGATTTTGTAATAATGGTCATTTTGTTGGGTGTAAGGTGGTATCTCATTGTGATTTTAATTTTAATTTCCCTGATTATGAGTGATGTTTAATAATTTTTTCATGTTTGTTGGCCATTTGCATATCTTCTTTTGAGGGATGTCTGTTTATGTCATCTGCCCACTTTTTAAAGGGATTATTTGTTTTTTTCCTACTGGTTTGTTTGAGTTCTTTGGAGATTCTGGATATTAGTCCTTTGTCAGAGGCATAGTTTATGAATATCTTCTCCCATTCTGTAGGTTGCCTAGTTGCTTTGTTGATTATTTCTTTTGCTGTACAGAAGCCTTTTAGTTTAATTAAGTTCCACTTATTTATTTTTGTTTTAGTTACATTTGCTTTTGGAGTTTTAGTCATAAATTATTGGCCTAGGCTTATGTCCATAAGAATTTTTCCTAAGCTTTCTTCTAGAATTGTTATGATTTCAGGTCTGATATTTAAATCTTTAATCCATCTTGAGTTAATTTTTGAATATGGGATATGGGGAGAAATAGGAATATATTTCATTTTCCTGCTTGTATCTATTCAATTTTCCCAGATCAATTGTTGAATAGGATGTCCTTTCCACAGTGTGGTACTAATACAAGAGCAGACACATGGACCAATGGAATGGAATAGATGATCTAGAAATAAACCTAAATACCTACAACCAACTGATCTTTGACAAAGCAGACAAAAGCCTATTTCATATTCTAATATGTCACCGATGTGATTTAAGAGATTTCTCTTTTATTTTTTTTTTGTTTTTTAGTCTCAAGAAATGTGGGTGTTTTATTTTTATCTCTTTAGTTTTTCTCTTCCTCTTCTGAACAGTGACTGAGGAAAACTCCAAAGTGAAGTACAGCCCCATAACCTTGGTGTGGGTGTAGGCATATGAATCCCACAGTAGTTGGACTCAGCCCCAAGCTGTGAGCACATACTTTGTGGAGGTTGTGGAGGTAGATGCTGCAGTTTTGACTCTCACCTCCCTCTGTAGCCACAAAAGTTAGTGATTCTCTAACTTCTCATTTAGACAGCAGCTTATTCTTATAGAAGTATTAGGGAGAAAGAAACATTTGTCTGGAGAAGTGAAGGTATAATGCCTATCCAACAGGGGAGGTAAATCCGATGTGAGTCCATGTTTCAGGCTGCCTTAAAATATCGACTTCCTAAAATTTACTTCCTGAAATACTAATTAAGAAGTCACTAGAGATCACAAAGATCACCACTTCCTGAATTACTCTTAGATATCTTGTTTTGGAAAGGAGAAATAGGAATGATAGAATGCACAACTCTGACCACAATATTCACATCAAAGATTGTGTAAATGGCTGTTCACTGCCTGTACAATTCTTGGGACAGGATTGATAAGTATTGGGTGAGACAATCTGACTCCCAACTCACTGAAGGCTCAAGAAAAGATAAATGGGAAAGGGCAGATGAGCCTGTGGCCTTCAAGATGGGCATTAGGAAGAGAACAAAATTAGCATTTGCTAAATACTTCTTTAGCAAAATAAGATTCAGAAGTTAAAACGGTAGAATTGGAAGGAAAGGATAGAACAAGAATTGTTATGAATAATAAGATTCAGAAGTTAAAACGGTAGAATTGGAAGGAAAGGATAGAACAAGAATTGTTATGAATATTCTGGAGCACAAGCCTTACCACTGAGGAATTGGCCTATGAAAATGTCTAGATGTTCAAATAAAGAGGTTGTACTTAGTGCTCAGAGATGAATTGTCTAGGCCATGAGTATCCAGCCCACATTTTCATTGGTTCCCTACCCACAATTCTGGACCTTTTGAACTTGATTGGTTGACTTGTAACAAGATTTTATATATGTATATTTACCTAGTTGAGTGAAAGAAGTGAATAACATCCTTTAATAGAAATAATAACTACCAAGTTGATATTTAGAAATTAGAGATAACAACTGAAAAATCCACAATCTACTGCTTAGAATTTGATAGATGTAAAATAAATTGTGATCATATTATTTTCTTACCCAGTTTTTTTTTCCTATTCAGAATATTTTCAGAGTAATATAGAAAATGTGATTCTAATGCCAGGTGCTCAGTGCTAGCACATGAAGATTATTGAGATAGTATGTTGGTCACTTTGATCACTACTCCCACACTCATAACTGTTCAGGGAAGTTCAAGAGCATATATGTAAACCACCATGCAGGAAATTTTAAAACATTAGATAAATGAGGCTATAACCATGACACACAAATTTGTTGAAAAAATTGTAACAGTATAACATGTAGCTGAATAACTTACTTAAATTAAAAAACAGAATTTTCTAAAGATTCAAGGGAATCTAGTAAAGGTCTCCCTCAAAGAAGGGCTAAGAAGACCAGGCTGCATTTTCCACTTTAGAAACTCAAGTTCATATTAAAGAAGCAAAATTGCATTTATTTATTAAGCATCTCTAGTTAAATAAATAAAAAATAGACCAACTTACTATATTGATGCCTTTGACACATATTTTTGCCAGAAGATCAATGACCCTATTTCTTCTATGCTCTGTGGAAAGTGTTTTTGACTTTAGGAGAAAGAACTACTGTCACTGGAAACTTTAATTGGCCTTCCCAAAATAGCCATTTCCCAAGTTGATAATGTGTTGCCCTTGCTAAGTAATGATTTTTAAAGAAAACAAAAAAGCCAATAGTAAATATAAATACGAAATCTTAGAGTACTAACTGTAGATGTTAAAGCATTTTCATTTATTTTACTCCAATTTTTATTTAGCTGTTATTTTTTTTCAGGGCACATCCTGCTCCATCTATTGAAAATCTCATGCTAGTCTAAGTTTCTGGAAAACAACTGTTCATCTCCATTAAACACTCTTGAGGCAACTGGAGTGTGTAATGCAGTACCTTAGAGTACAGTCTCTGGATGAGAACAATGCTTAACATGAAGAAATAATCAATTATGACCTCCCAGATCAGTAAGTGATTATTTTTTCTACCTACAGAAATCAGTGATTGTTTTTCTGCATAGGCTGGCAGTTACAAATAACTTGAAGACCTTGTTTTTCTCCATTTCTTACCTCTTGATGCAAATTGAAAAATGAAGGGAGAGACATGGTTTTCAAAATGGTATTGGAAGCTGGCAGGATCAAGAGGATGCTCCTGTGTCTGGGGGGGAAGGACATGAGCATTGACATTCCTCTGCCCAATTTCAGAGTAATTAAATATTCTGCATTGTCAACAGACATTCTGGAAAGTATGGATCAGCATTACTTGAAATGAGTTTTAAGTAAGGCTTTAAAAGCTTATAAGTGAAATTATAAATACAGGTCAAGATAGACTGATACCCAAAACTCAGAGATGCTGAGTTAACCCTACCACCTTAACCCTACCACTCTCTTGGAGTTTCCAATCCTGCGTATCTCTTCTCTTCTTTTTGTTGGTTGAAAAAATGTTGAGTCGGTTTTCCAAAACACATTTTCTTTCTTCTGGGGTCTCTTTTTTCTGTAATTTTCTTCCTTAAACTCCCTCTTCAGGGCATGGCTTTGGGTCTCCAATAAGCCATGGCTTGTTCTAAGTTCACAACTTGCTTTTCAGAGAATAGTTTCTCAATTCACCACAAAATCACAAAGCTGCAAAGAGGAGTCCAGAAGTGTGCAGACAACTCACCATAAATGGGGTCCAAGTCTCCAACAGCAAAAATGGCCAGGGTGCGGCTTTGGGAATCAGTTCGGGATCTCTTCAGCCAGCACTGGAGGCAGAAGAACACTGCCCCACTGAGCAGAGCCACCAAGAAGATCAGCAGCAGGAACCTGACACCAAAAGTAGCAGAAGAGTGAGGCGGAGCATGTGAAGAAGTTAAGAGCTTCTGTTACTATCTTGAAAGGCGGCAAGGACTCAGCTAGACTGACTGCAAACAATTTGAGATGTGGAATTTCTTAAGCAATTCCTCTACCACCACTCCTACATTCTTACTGATCCTAAAATATTATTTGTGCTCAGAGCAGGTCGATCTTTCCAGGTGGTAATTATCATTTTTTTCCTTGAAAATTGGAAAATTGGAGGTTTTTTTTTTTTTTTTTTGAGTAGGAGTCTGACTCTGGAGGGTTATTTTTAAAAGCGGTGTCTTAATTTATCCATCAATTCTTCTTTTCATTCAGCTATATATCCATTCATTCAACTAGTATTAAGCAACTGAATTTTACATGTTGGAGTTAGGGACTCAAAGGTAGACAAAATGTAGTCTCTGCCTTTCATGAACTGACCATCTAATGGGGAGAGCTGACAATGTTAAGTTTGGTAAATACTAATGTAAAGATTTAAGAGGCTAAATTTTCTGAAGGTTATCTCATAGATAAGGTAGCAGTCTTATTTTGAATGTAGCAGTCTTATTTTGAATGACTTTTAAGGACAGAAATAAAATTAGTGAAGAGTCATTTTAGGGAGATTTCACAAGAAAGACTATTTTTTTCATTAATGAGCTTTAATTCCAGAACAAACTCTTATTCTTAAACATAGTGAGTTCTCAGTCACAGATACATTTTCTTTAAGCGCATGGCCCCCCTCTCCAATTTAGTAGAGGTAAATCTACCCTCTCTCTCTCTGATCTACTTTCTTTTCTTTTTTTTTTTTTTTTTTTGAGTTGGAGTCTCACTCTGTCGCCCAGACTGGAGTGCAGTGGCCGCTCCCGGCCACCACAGCCTCGACCTGCTGGGCTTCGGCGATCCTTCCGCCTCAGCCTTCCGAGTAGCTGGAGTTACAGGCGCGCACTAC